TGCTGACAGACCTTGGTTAATTAGCCCTCTGGAAGAACAGTTTTTTTTCTCCAGAGACTCCAGGAAGGAGAATCCTTTAAGGACAGCTGTTTGCTAACTTCTGGGTCTGAGAAGTGGTTTGGCTTCCTGGATGGAAGGGTTTCTCATTCCGGGAAGGTCAGAGATCTTTCTTCTCCCTAACAGACAACATGTCATTTAGGTGGTCCAGTTTTCCAGCTAATTTTAGAATTTGCAGTAGTAAATCATTTAGTGAAATATTATATTGAGTTGGATTATAAAGCAATGCCAATAGTTTTTAGACAAAACACCAGCACTTTAGTATACAAATGACTGAAATCCTTTAAAGTGGTCACTTACTCAAAGCATATTTGAAGCTCCTTTTGTGTTATCACCTGGGGTCAATTTGTAAGGCACAGCAGATATTTGTCGCCAAAATGATTATATGCAGATTATTCACCAGATTTGGTTTTGGGCTTTTGCAAAATTCAAATCGATTCTACCCTGGGAGATAGTCCAAACAAACAATTTAAAACCTGTCTTGAATGATGATTTTACTCTCACAATGAGTACAGAGTAATCTCCAGTAATTACTCTGAAGGGGACAATACTCATCTGGAGTGTAAGTTCTAATGTACTGACTTAAAAAAGTCAGGGGCGCCTGGCTGGCTCAGTTGAAAGAGCTTACGACTCTTGATCTGGGGGTCGTGAGTTCTAGCCCCACGTTGGGTGTAGAGATTGCTTAAAAATGAATACACAAATAAACTTAAAGAAAACCCAGACATAAGAGATAGTTGGTGCATGTAGTTTCTCCAGTTGAGATCATATGTGGGATGAAATAAAACAGTGTGTCTCCCGCTATTTCCCTCCAGCAAGTCTGCCACATTGGTGGGAAACTGGACCCTAATCATAGTAGGTAATAACATCTTCCTAGCCCAGCCTACATTCAGAAAATCTTCAAAACTAAATGTGTCTCCAAGTTATTATCTTGTTTCAAAATTTCAACATATACTTTCTCTTTTTAATCTCAAAATAAAATATTTAATTTCTCAATTTTGCTTTTTTCTGTTCTAAAGTTTAAAACGATGAATCATATTATTTCTTATTGCAATTAGTTTGGCTGAAATAACACCTTCTGTTTTGCTACCCACTTTAATTCAAACTTATATTTTAATCACTGCTGTAGGTGTTTTTTCAGTATATCAAATAATATTCTCATATGTAATTATCTAGATACCTAGGATGATTTCCCAGATACATTTTTTTGAAGTTGACTTGTCCTCCTGCTTTGTTTTTATATTTAGATACAAAGCACCAGGCAATTTTTATATTTACAATAACATACCCCCCTAAAACAGGAACTAAATGTCTATCCATTTACATCAGATTCATTTGAATCATTAAAAGTGAAATACCCAAATTGATGATGGGGAAGAGAACAGTTAAGTGTTTTGATTGCCTTTTGACCACAAAAACATTTCTTAGTGTACTGAAGCTTTAGTTTTCCTTCTCCCCAGCCCCTGGCTGGGGAGGAGTTGGGGCAGAAGGGCAGAGGCACATGAAGTCCATCTCGCCAGGCTGAGTCAGGCCAATGCAGCTGCTGGCCTGGGCACAAGCGTGGGCGGCCACCTGTGGGTCCCGGCACAGCTGTTTGGTAGAGGGCCAGCCAAAGCCCGGTCGGTGGGGTGGAGGCAGGTGGCGAGTTGGGCGGCCAGCACATTCTGGCATGGGCTGAAAGAACACCTGGTTCCACTCTGTAGACCCACCACAGAAGGTCAAAGAATGTGCTTGCTGGCAGCAACCTGATGGGTCCAGCTCTGACTGAAACAGAGAAACCCACCTTTCTTGAAACTTACCAGAAGCCAACACAGGCATCATTCTGCTCCAGTTGTGCTGAAATAGGTCAGCGAGGCCATCGGGCATATCTGGAACTGGTGTAGGGGGCTCTCAGACAGGAACAGGCTCTGTGATTCAAAACAGGACATTTCATGGGAGGTGAGAGCCTTCTCTTGTATTTGGCTGCTGTCATTGCAGACACCATCTATCCTTGAATATCTCTGACCTTCATTTTCCTCCTCTTCCCACGAACTCTAACTACATGCTTAGAAAAACCACTTTGGGTCCCCATGTATAATTTTGTCACCAGACAGAGGAATTTTCATAGTGAACACCACTACCTACAGAGACAGGAGCCCAAAGTTCACCCTTTCCTGACCCCCGAAGCCCTGCCCAAGACCCCAGGCCCACTGCTTCCCAGGAAAGCATTTCCTCTGGCCTTATGAGTCACTTTCTCTCTGGTAGAGGAGCATCCTTCCAAATTTCCCAGTCCCAGATGTAGACAGGCAGCAACCTTCCATGTGCCAAAGAGGTGACACTCGCCTCACTGGTTCTGTGACCCCTGGCAACTTACTCAACCTTTCTGAGCCTCAGTTTTGGAATTTGTAAGTAGGGATAGACAGTATTGTCCTCATAGTTTCGTTGTAACCCATCCAATGAGAGAACGTATGTTAAATGACTAGCATAGAAACTGTGTACAACAGGTACTCAGCAAATATTGGTCGTATAAATGAATGACCATGGCTGATGCCACTCTCTAGACACAAAGAGGCCACACCTGGTCTGGACAGGCCCTGGGCTAGAACTTCCTCCTGACATCTTTGCTTGGGATTTCAAGGGCCTCATCTCACAATTACTGCCCTGTGGGCCCATAAGGTAGCCTTCTGTGCACAAAAGCCCTTTCTGGGCACAGATCAGGCCTTTCCAAGAATTGCAGTGGCCTCGAGCTAGTAGAAGCCACCACCGTCAAGCCATTGACCTGAAGAAAGCAGTCAGACATCTGGGAGGCCTGCAGCTGGTGGGATAACTTGCCCCTCTTATGTGAAACATCTCTAAGGTAACATATCTAAGCCAAGGTCCAAGAAGAGATCTCTGGATTGAATTTCACAAAATTTAGTCTGGAGCAATGAAATCTTGACCAGTCAGGCATAATGTTCTGTGTCCTGAGGTGAATGGGAATATTCAGGCTCCCTAACCCCTGGACTCTGGACATCAGGTGCTATTACCCTTGTGTAACCACACAGTGTTGTTCTAGTAAAGATATATATTGCCCTGGAAATTATCTTTCATCATCTATGCAGCTCAAGACTTTCGGTGGGCTAACAGGAGCCATCAACCAAGAGACAATACAAGCATAACCTTGGTTTCCCCATAGAGTGGAGCCAGCCCTCACATTGCCGTTCGATTTCGGGCCTCAGATAGTATCTGTGGATCAAGTGAGGGACAAAGAATGCTAGAAATAGCCCTCTGAGAAAAAGATGGAAGACCATTTTCCTTTTAAGTTACAGCTTAGGGTTTTCAAGTCTGAGGTACAAAACCATTGTGAACAGCTGTTCTTTTTGAAAATATGTTAGTTTATTCCACACATTCTGATATGAATGAGACAGAATTCCGAATGCAGCTTATCTGTCACTTTTTTATTCAGGGACTGATCTTTTCTCTTTCTTGCAGCCACTTATTTAGAATTTTCCAGGCCTCCAGGACTGTGACTTTTTTTTTTTCTCCCTGAACTACATTTTCCCCCTTTCTTTTAAAAGTAATGAATATTATCCTAGCCACACCAATTCACACATTTTTGTTACGAAGATCAACAACCAACTTTCTTCCTAATGCACCTGAAAAAAAAATATCACCTGGCCTTTTGGAGCATAAAAGCTTAAGGATGATCCTAGTGTTCTCTGGAGAGTGGCAGAGATCTCCACGGAGGGTGGATTGTCCTTGCAGTCGGTGCCCTAGGTAGGAAAGTACCCTTTAGATATTTCGAAGGGAGAAAACAGTTAACTGGAAGCTTAAAAACAACTGTAGGTGAACAGATAGACTAAGCATCTGAGGAATCTAAGCTAAGGCAAACCGTATTTCTCGTTATTCCTTTCCCAACCCCTTTGCAAATGAAGTGGGAAATTGATACAGCTGGTCCCAGAGTCTTCTCATTCACTGAGCATTCATAATACTCTAGCCACATTTGAGATTTTTATTTATTTATTGAGAGAGAGAAAGAGAATGGTAGAGAGCGAGTATGAGAGGGAGGAAGGTCAGAGGGAGAAGCAGACTCCCTCCTGAGCAGGGAGCCCAACGCAGGACTCGATCCTGGGACTCCGGGATCATGACCTGAGCCGAAGGCAGTTGCCCAACCAACTGAGCCACCCAGGCGCCCTACTGTAGCCACATTTGGCTCCTGGAATGACCCTGAGGAAATAATCTCCAAGACTATCTAATCACCGCACCTGATTTCTTCTAGTATATCAGATTGAATGTGTGTGGGGGTGGATATGGAGGTAAGCAGACTGAAGCACAACCTGCTTGGGCATTCCACATCTTCTTATGTAATTGATGATACTGTCATTATGAACACAAATAGCTAAGCATGTAGGAGGGTCATCTTCCTTTTAGTTGCTGAGTTTCAAAAATTGCTGAGTTACCTTTGCATGTGATAGTACACCCCAGCTCAGCAGTGGCTGAACCATTAGTTCAGCCTCAGAGGAAATGTCTAAAGGTGGAAAAGTAAGTCCCTCAAGTTCCTATGCTCCCTGTTGAATCTGAGTGGAAAAATCCTTCTTCAAGTTATGAATACTTTTGTTCAGCACCTTTTCCACAATGAAATATATTGCATCCTCTTCTATGCTAAGGAATTTACAGGGAAAGCAAAAGGAGAAGGGAGGCAAAAGAGTCATGAGTCTATCTGGACTTCCTTTCTAGGGTTAGAATAGCTAACTAGTGGCATCTGGGGATAGAGATCCACTAGAAATACCCAAAGCCCTTGTATTTAATAGTACTGAAATACAAATAAATGCAATCTCTGAGGAGGGTAGTAAGGATGCAACAAATTATCTCAAACCTGGATACTACCTGGATAATTTGGACAGTGTAGTGTGGTATTCCAAAGGATAGATTCCCCCCACTGCAAGTTTAGCACCAACTTTTCAGGGAATAGACAACTTTCATCTGAATCATTCTTACAAGCTGAATTTTTATTTTTACTAAATTATCTATGTTAAAAAAAAAATCTGTGCCTGGTGTGGAATTTCACTCCATCAAGTGTTACAATGACTTTTTCATTTTCATTACAAGCAGGAGAATGAATGTAGGACAAGTGTTAGGAAACATGGCAATAAATTAGAATATAATTTACAAAAGCAAAAAAAAAAGTAACAGTGTACCACATTAATACTGAGTATAAAATAATAAGCAACAACTAATCACAATAATACAAAGGTAATTTCATTCTGTATTATTAAGGATACCTATGTGACATTCACTCCAATAAAATTCCTAACGAAATGGACTGTTTGGGGAGTCATATGTATCTCAAGGGCTTTCATCAGTTGGGTATATTTACCTTTCCTTTTTTTGGCAGGACTTTATGCCAGTGGCAGGTACTGCTCTCAGCCATGGGGTACCAGTTTCCTGGGCTCCCTAAGTAGCCCACATAGCATGCTACTTTTGGGAGGGCCTGCCATGGTGGCTCAGCCTCCACTGAAAATCCTATCGCTAGCATTTGGGAAGAGAGCATATCACATAGCCAGCCACGGGGTTGACTACAGAGCTAGCAGCAGTATTGTGATGTGCTGTAGAATACGATTTGTTTCCCCACTCAGGTTTAGTCCTGTCACATTCTGTCCTCGGTTCCTTCTAGCAGAGTAATCCGATGCTGCGCTGTGAAGCTCTCTGCTCCTGGCCTTGCGACACTAGCTGCCCCCTCTTCTAACGTCAGTCAAGGGAGCCCAGAGCAATGGTCCTCACAACATTCGTTTCCAGGTGAGGCGTAGAATAGACTTAAGTCAGTAATGCAAGAAATCTTTTTGGAATAAAAACATGAGCTGATATTTATGTGGGGAAAAACAGATCCTGACAGGAAATCTATGCCTAAAATGCCACAGAAACCACTCATCTTTTATTTATTTCACCAGGGCACATTAGCACCAAGTTAACTGCTCTTTGCAAGGGACCAAGGGAATTCAGTGCTGGGGCCATGCTGCTCATGGGCTGCCTCGTCTTCACTGAATAGATGGCACTTGGGCTTGACTTCTCAGGGCAGAATACAGAGGGGCCCTGGCAATTTCTGTGTATTGTCAGGAGCTTTCTCTGGCAAGCTCAGGGACATGAGCTGTGGTGTTGAGAGAGAAAGCAGGCGAGAAAATAGGGATGACCACAACTGAGTGTGCAGAACAACATCCCATGCTGACTGTCCATAGCAAACCTGACGTTTAGGTTGGTTTTTGAAGTCTGTGAGTCTCTTTCCCTTTCTGAAAAAAGCTAATCATTCTACCTTAGGTCACGGTGTAGGCGATACACCTGACATGTAGTCTGAGCACACACAGTGATGGGTTTAAGTCAAACATACTCTTTAACTGCAAGTAGTATCTTTACAAAGTAGCCATTTGGTTTGAGTTTGAGGTGTTGGTGTAGCACGGTGTACACACCTGTAGGATACAAAGCACATTCATCAAGAACCTGCTGCAAGCTACAAGTGTTCAAGTACAAAACATAAACAAGTACCCTCTTTTTTTACCTTTCTTTTAATCCCACTGTTGAAGCTTTTGATGAGCATGATACGAAATTATTTGTGGATAGGGAAAATATGAGCTAGTCGATTTAATTTAGGATTCTGGATTTGATTCTAGAATTGACTTGCCCAAGAAACTTGGTTTCACATTTAACTGCCATTCAGAGTATCCATAACAAATACAAAATAGTTGGTTGAGTGACTATTAAAATTATGCTTTATGATCTTTAGGCTTCATGAGTTTTTCTTCTTTGGTTGTTATCCCTTGCCTACTTTAAAACTCACAGAAATAGCACATTTACGTGCAAGCACACTCATCTAACCCACACACTCAAAAGCGCCCGCACACACACACACTTGCTCTCATATAAATAAATGCCCTTCTGCCATATCAAAGAAGGGACATCTGGAACCCATCACAATTGTCAGCAAAAGGATCTGCCTGTTGTTACTGAGCCAGTCTATCTTTTGCACGGCATCATTTCAGTAAGCTCGACACGCGTGCAACAATCCAACGGGGCAGAAGCTTCTCTGTGGCTGGTGAGGATGTAAACACAATTGAGGTGGGGTGACTCAGAGAAGAACTGAGGCATCCTGTGTGATGGCAGCAAAGGGCCTGGTTCTTCGGCTCTACCGTACCCCTGGTCTGGCTTCTGCATGAAATCGAAATGTTTTTCTCTTAAAGTTTTAATGGAAATCTCAGCTTCACTTGCACAATGGCAAGTTGGCCACAGTCTTTTAGCACAGAATTTATAGACTTGCACAGCTGCAGTAACTGATGCACTGCCTTCAGCTAAGTCCTTCACTGTTGTTCGGTTTAATATAGTTTATATATGGCTCACAGCAGTGTTCAGAACAGGGGGATTATTCCTAAGGAAATTAGGTGGAATGAAGAAAAATAATACAAACTTTCATTACTTTTGATTTATAATTGCTCCTTAAATTACAATTAAAAGCCCATTTTAGAATTTAAATTGTGGTGCTGTTGTAGTGAGATAAAGTATAGTAAATATTTTTAAGCTATGACTTAAGATTTCTGAATCTTCTTTTACTTCCATAGTTGACCAAGTCATAACAGCTACATTTTAAACAGTTTTAAATACAAATGGATTCAGTGTCATTGCTAAGTCCATAATAAAAAATATCTTAATGGTCCAAGGAGGTAAACAGGCTATTGGATTTACTCGAAAGAACACAAACGTTCCACAGTAAGCAAGTCTCCCTGTGTTGTTTGGATCTCTCCGATCTGGCATTCCCTCCTTAATACCGTGTCCAGCACTTTGGATCAATAAATCCCACTTCACAGAAGTTAAAATAATATTGAAATCCTGTCAGCTAGGGCTGACCAGTGGTTACGTTTTCCACAGGGTAATGCATTTGCAAGGCCATCAGTCCTCTTCCTCTGGGTGGTTCTCTTTGATGGACGCATTTTCACGATGAAATGACAAGGCGCTCTCTCTGGCTTTCCGTGGGTCAGTGTCCTTGGCAGGTCTTACAACACATCTGTCTGAAGTATGCTCGACTACAGAACTTGAACTTCAGCACCAGTGGGCAATAAGCCACTTTGTTCACATCTTTGCACTCTAACGAATGGGGGCAGAAAATGGAAAACAATTAGAGGCACATAAACAAGTGCATAAACCAGCCAATGGGACTGCATGTTCGGCAAGGACCCCCTTGCACCAATCTACCTTGGCTTCCACATCCATGTGGTTTTTGTTTTTGTTTTTAAGCATACCCTGTCTGGTACAGCCTACCAGAAACATTCTTTTGATAGATTTTAACACAATTTAAAAAAAAAAAATGATTGCAAGGCTTTTCTCCCAGACTTTTATAAGTATGGTACATGCCCACTGTGTCTTGAAAGAATTACCATTTGTTGGGATAAGTGATCACTTTAGACAGCTTGGAAACATGAGTCATTTTTCTTACAGCGCTTTTATTGCTTCTTTCTCAAGGGTTATTTTATTCAGCAGTGCAAGGTTATCCAAAATCAAACATGAGTTGCATTGTTTGATACCAAAGTACACATGTCTCAAGAGAATCTCTGCATCTGTGAGGCATGGGGATGGGCCTGGGTGAATGAAAAGGATTGCTGACAGTGGCCTAGATTCAGCAACTACACTAGACAAAGAGGAAAACTTTGAGGGGTTGGCCTCAAATGGCAGCAGTCTGTGGGTTATGGAAACATGTAGAAATGTCTTTTTTTAATTTGGAAGTGAGACATGGCCTTCTTTTTTCCTATGTGTATTTTCTCCTCAGTGCTAGAATTGCCACAGTTGAGGTCTGTAGTTCTTGCAGCCAGAAGGTGAATAAATGATTCTTTCTCCATCTCCCCTTGAGGCTGGTTGCAGAAGATGGGGCGAAGGGGCCAGTGTAGAGAAAGGCACACCAGTCTTTGATCCTCAGCAGCACCCCTCTCACCCCCACATAACCCCACTATTTCTAATAATGATATTCTTCTCTAGTCCTCTGGTCACTTTTATCTGGGGATTTTAAAAATACTTTGTAAACCTAGTAATTAAATTTCCATATGCCTCCCAGAATCAAAGTTCCACCCTCATTTTTCCAGGTGGTTATACTGAAGCATCCTGGGTAAACTGCTGAAGGTATTTAGAATCAGGCAGAACCCTGGGTGAAGTTCAGTGTAACAGGACAGTTTTGTCGTTGTTGCTCGCTTGCTTATTTGCATGTTTTTTCCTGGTTTCAGAAATCCACTGAAGTTCTAAGAGATCATATACATGGTACACAAGGCATATGACAAACTTGAGAAATTATATGCGAAGGAATGGGAAAGTTTTCCATTATTAGTGAGAAGTAAGGTAACAATTTTATTGATCTCATGTTCCAGGCTCTTTCAGTGAAAGACTTAAATTTTAAACGGGAGCCCTCAATCTTCTGCAAACATAAACGCTGTCACCAGCAGACTCCCTTACTCACAATTTGACTTACAAAGAGAATAATAGTTAGAAATTTGAATAGAAACTTTCCGCACTAGGATTCTCAGTAAATTTAAGTTTTGGCTGAAAGAACGGCGGAGAGACAAGAAAAATTTCTTTAACCTTTGTACTAAAAAAGAAATCAGATGATATTTTGTGAATCAAGTATGAATTTGAGGTGAAAAGAGCTCCACAGATTTTAATTTGGAGGTCACTTGGCATTTTTTTTCCTTTTCCTCTCTGTCACGACCAGTAAAAAGTAATCAAAACAGGTTTAGACTAAGAATATTTTTGTGAGGGGGGAAAAAGTTTTATCAGTGTCACCAAGAGGGATATATTGTCAAGGTAATGCAATTATTAAAATGATGAGAAGGGCGCCTGTGTGGTTCAGTGGGTTAAGTGTCTGCCTTCAGCTCAGGTCATGATCCCAGGGTCCTGGGATCAAGCCTCCCCCGACCCCCCACAGGCTCCCTGCTCAGCGGGGAGTCTGCTTCTCCCTCTCACTTTCCCTCTGTGCTCTCTCTCTTACTCAAATAAATAAATAAATAAATAAATAAATAAATAAATAAATAAAATCTTTTTTATAAAATGAGAAAAACCAACATAGTATCATTCATCTTTAATTCCAAATCACCACCCTAATGGGGCAGCCCACCAGCAGAGACTACCCCTCAGAGTTGGCAGCGGGGCTTGATGGATCGCGTCAAGTTCAAAATAAATTTTAGCCAAAATATAGAGATGATTTAGTTGATAGATAGAGGAGGACTGGTTGCTTTAATAGTATAAGGTATAAAATTAGAAGCCAGGCTGCCCTGGTTTAATCCGTTTTCTCATTTACTGACTTTATGACTCTGAACAGTCTCTCTGTGCCTGAGTTTCCCCCTCTGTAAACAGGGATGATGAGAGTTCTCACTTCCACACATAACATGTATATCCTATGATGCCACTTGGAGCCGTGCATACAAGGTTTATCAGCACATGATAAGTGTAAAACATCGAATTACGACTGTTATGGGCGCCTGGGTGGCTCAGATGGTTAAGCGTCTGCCTTCGGCTCAGGTCATGATCCCAGGATCCTGGGATCGAGTCCCGCATCGGGCTCCCTGCTCCTTGGGAGCCTGCTTCTCCCTCTGCCTCTCTCTCTCTCTCTCTCTGTCTCTCATGAATAAATAAATAAAATCTTTAAAAAAAAATAAAAAAAAAATAAAAAAAAAACGAATTACGACTGTTATTACCACTATTAGTTATTACCTCGTACCACCTGATAACAGTAAGTTGTCCTTTGACTTTCTCCATGAGGACACAATATTTAGAGTACTACTGAGAAAGTGCTGTCCTATTGACATAAGTCAGTATTTTCTGGGGTTCAATTTTATTGGGAGATTCATTAGTCTAGTTTTGGAAGAGTTACTGGTCCAGGAAAATTCTGAGATGAGCAAAATACAAGCAAATTCATAGATTTTTCTTTTAGATTGAGACCTTGGAATCCGATTCCGTAACAGATAACAACTAATGAATAAAAAATATTCATAAGTTGTTCCTCCCTCCAATTACCCCACCATCCACCCAGTCAGGCTATTACAAATATAAATAACTCGGGATTCAGCTTCTTAGGTGGGTGCTGGAAATGAGAAGACTCTCTTCAGCATGCAGAGATGCAGAGCACAGTCCTTTGGCCAGGAGCAGTGTCTAGCCTCAGGGTAGGCTGGAAGCCAGCTGCCTGGGTGTCCCTCTCTGAACTTTCCAATACCCCTCTCAGGTTAGTTGCCAACTACAGTGATTCCAACCAGCTTGACTGAAAGCAGGAAGTCATTTGGGTCCTGGGAGCAGGATCAAGCTTAGAGAGGTAGGCACTCCTTAAGAGCGCACACGACTTGCCTGCCCCAGCACCATAACACAGTGGTGAGGGGTGGCAGACCTGGAGTGAGCTGGGCCTGGGGGTGAATTCTGGAGCTGCTTCCTCTCCGTATTTGATTGTCCTGGGCTAAGTTCCTTCACCTCTCTAAGCCTCAGTTTCTTCATCTGTGAAGTAGAGACTCATGACAAGACTTGCTCACAGGACCTGGTAAAGTGAGGCACACATGGGATAGTGCTTACAAAGCACAGGCCCCTCTCCACCCTACTCCCTCCCCTGGCACCTGGCGCAGAGGAGTCACTCAGTCTGTTAGCTCTCATTATTACCACCAACACATCTGCCTCTGAGATCAACCATTGTGTATTATGTCTCTGGGATCCCTGTCCAAATGTACCTAGGCTCTCAGGGAGGGTTACACGTTGGCATGCATAAGCAAAATAACAAAAAGATACTAAACAGAGAGCAGGTAAATCATAATGGGGTGGGGTGGGGTGGGGAGAGATGGGGGAGGAGCCAGGTCTGGGGCTGCCAAGATGGGAGGCAATAGGCCTTGATGAGATGAGACATTAAATGGAGACCCGGGGGGCTGCCTGAGGACACACAGCCTTGATGCACAAAGGAAGATCCCTGAGGAAGACCCCATTCCTAATTCTTGGTTTTGCCTTCTAGAGACTGCCCAGACAGGGAGAATCAATCTTTGTACTGATGGAAATCTATTTAACAGAGAAGATCAGCTGTGACTGGTCTTTCATTCTCTCAGCCTTTAATGTCACAAGAGCTTAATCCAGTAACGATTACATTAAAAATAATTTATTAAGGGCCTCCTATGTGCCAAGAACTGCTTGGTGGTTTTACATACTTGTATATTTAATCCTTTGATGTATATAAAACATCAGATTTACATAGATGGCAAAACTGAAGCTCACAAACATTAGGAAAACCAGGCTGGTCACACAGCTGGTCAGTCTAAGAGCTGGGGCTAGGACCCCTCAGTTTTGGCAGCATTCTTGGCATGAAACTACAAAAAAGATTTCTGCCTGTTAAGACTTCTGTATTCTTGGCTGATACCAAAAGTCACGGGTCAACCGTTGGTGGCATCATCGTCAGAAAATTTGCTCTGCCACCTTAGAAAAAGGGGAATTAAAAAAAAAATAACCTATACCCAACAGGGGGCTCGAACTCACAGCCTCGAGATCAAGAGTTGCATGCTCCACTAAGCCAGTCAGGTGACTGGAGAATGAGTAGGGTTTTATAAAAGGAGGGTTCTAGGGCACCTGGGTGGCTCAGTTGGTTAAGTGATGCCTTCAACTCAGGTCATGATCCTGGAGTCCCAGGATCGGACTCCCTGCTCAGCAGGAGTCTGCTTCTCCCTCTGACCCTCCCCCCTCTTGGGCTCTTTCTCTCTCTCTCTCAAATAATAAATAAATAAACAAACAAACAAATAAATAAATAATAGGCGTGTTCTAGGTCACAGGTATTTGAAATAGCCTGAATACTTTTCTTCAGCTTTACCTTCCTCCTTCAATTGTGTAAAATGACATAAGTGAAAGATGATTTGAGACACACCAAGAAGTTTTAAAGCCCCACTATTACAGAAAGCTGAATGTAATCTTTAAATATATTAGGAAAAGTTTTAAATTATACTGAGGCATTCAGCCCATCTGCTACTTTTTTAGCTTACCTAGAGAGGATTGACTTGTTGAGCTCTTGAATTGACTCACTGACATTCTGCTGATGTAGTCAAGAATCCTTAATTATAAAACTTATTCACTAGCTTGCTTCATTCTCA